ACACACACACTGTAACCTCAGGCAGAGGAAGTTAGCGTTTAACCCGGTCCCCAGTCAACCGTGATGGGAGCACAAACTGGTCCTGATTGAGTGTGTGTGTGTGTGTGTGGGTGTATGTGGGGGGGTTACACAGGAAGTGGGAAGACCTCTCTAAACCATCCATCCCCATCTTTCACACACACACACACACACACACACACACACACACAGTGAGAACAACGCCCAGTCATTTATCAGTAGAGTCCAGCCTCCACCGTCAAACTCAACGGTCTCTGCAGTGTGTGTGTGTGTGTGTGTGTGTGTGTGTGTGTGTGTGTGTGTGTGTGCTGACCTTCACTGACCTTTGTTGGGGGACCAATCAGAGCGTTTACATCAGATTTTTTGTTTTGAGACTTTTTAATGTTCTCTGAGAGTCTTTGTGGAAACGCTCTGATCTCGTTGTCCTCAAACACTTTGAACGTTTGATCTGAAACGAGTTCACCAGCAGAGAGACGAACGTCCACAGAGACACACAGACGTAGCTAATGGAAACAGTTTCACGTTGTATTATTATTACTGAGCGTGGAAACATAACTACTAATGAGCCTGAAACGAAGGATGTCCTGATGTCCCCGAGGACGATTAAACTATCTCCATGAACGCAGAGACACAGCGTCTGGGACAGTAGAGGAATTTATAATTACAAATTAAATTATGTTTGTGTCTCTGAATATAAATCATCTCAGTTATTAGGAGGAATGTGAGGTGGCACTGATGTAGATTTAATGTTTCAGACCTTCTTCTGCGAGCAGCTCCGGGGTCTCTCCCTCTCCTCTTGGGACGTACACAGTCCGTCAGTCTGTGTGGTCTGTGGGGGTTTGACCTTCTGTCTCACTCTCTCTCTCCGGATCTGTGGATTAGGACGTTCCTGTAGCTTATAAATATGTAAATAATAGTTTGTTTGAGCTTGTAAATATTTAAAGAGTCTGTTTGATCTTCTCCCTCCACTTTCTTTAACTTCAGATATACGATGTCCCCGCACTGAGTTGGTGATAAGAAACTGCCGTTTGCAGTGATGCATTTTAGTTTGTGGACACTTCCATGTTTTAATCAGCATCAATGAAGTAATTAAACTATATTTATTAAGTAGAATGAGAAAAGGAAGTAACATTTAGGACACTGGTTGTTAAAGTTAAAGCGAGAGATCTTCCAGTGGAAGAAACGAAGACCTCGGGATGAAGCCGAACTCGCTCCTTACCGTTGGCTGTTTGTGTTTCAGGTTCTGGTTTGCACAGAACGTCTGTCGCCCGTTTAAAAGACAAACACTGCTCATCCAGTCAGATCAACCAACCATATAAACCATTAGTCAAACTCTTTCTGAAGCCGGTCGGGAGACAGAGCAACCTTTGTGATGCTAGCAGCAGCTATGCTAACGTCTTTAGCAGCCACCGTTGTGGTTTAGTGAACAGTGTGTTCGGTCCCAGACGCAGTGTAAAGTCCTTCAGCTGTGTATACCTGTGGGCTGCTGCTGTGTGAGGCTGGTTCATCGCTGTATGTGATCCGCTGCAGCAGCTCACGATGAAAGTGGAGCTTTAACAAAAATGCTTCAAGAGCTCGCTGATGGATTTTCATGTTTTAAGGAAACGAGTGGTAGGAAAAGTAGATTCACATGTCTGAAACACAGCAGCATTGTTTCCACACTGGCTGACTGCACTGATGTGCGGTAAAATGGTTTGCATGTTCGAGTTTTAATGAAATATGGAGCCTGTTGATGTTTGTTTGGGACAGAAAGACGAATGTTTTGTGCTTCCTCGGACTCTCTCGCTGCAGTCTCAGTGGTATGAGGAGGTGTGGGCAGGAAGGAATGACTGTAGGCTGAGACACAGACAGAAAAATCTGGTGGATGTCACAGCAATTTTCTCAATTATATTTTCCTTTTATTTGTTTTTGTGCTCAGTTTGTGGGTTTGGCAGCGAGGACTCGTGTTTCCTGCTGGTAACGTCTGTTAAAGAGCTAGTTAGTAGGAACTGAATGGAAAATAGTCTTCAACACCCGCAGTGTGAAAAAAGGCATCAGACACAAACATAAAGCAGCTCTGATCGACAGACGCAGTTACACACAAATGAATGCTGGTTGTAAGCACATTTAAAAAAGGTTGAGTGTTTGTGTGTCTTTGTTTTTAAGTTGATATGTTGAACACATCCAGCAGCAACATTCATTTGGAGTTTGTGTCTGAGTCCAGTGTGTAACATTGGGGAGGATCTATGGTGTGTGTGTGTGTGTGTGTGTGTGTGTGTGCTTGCATTGGTTCATAATCACCTGAGAATCATGGTGTGGTTTTGTTACCTTAGCATCACACTTCACAGCCTGTTCTCATTCCCAGGTTATTAAATACGGAGCCGTGTTCAGTTTGTTGCAGTCTGAATCTTCACCAATAGATGCCACTGAAACCTACACACTGGTCCTTTGAGTCTGATATTCCCTCTCTTTAAGCTCCTGAGAGACACATCTGCTCCTTTCCAGCTGTAATTCTCCACTGTGCTCACCAGCTAGTCTCTAACTGTCTCTAACCGGTAGCGTACGCTGGGTTTTTACAGCGTTTTTGAGTGCTGAGAGACGGATAAACAATGAGCCGAGACGGAGGGTTTGATCAGAGATTAGTTTGCTCCTGATCTCACCTGCTGCAGCTCCAGCAGAAAGTCGGCGGGCTGGTTTTGTGAGTCTCTGCAGTAGCGTGACTCTTGAAAGGCAAACTGAACGCACACTGAGGAGATAACACGGCCTCCTGCTGGCTGACGCCGATCTGGACGCTGATTTCCATCGACACACCCTGGAAACGGTCGCGCCACCTTTCTCCGAATCCTTCGAGTTCTTCTAAAATAAAACAAAGAGGGAAACGGGGCCCACGAAGCTCTGCACCTTCTTTTATTTACTCCTGATTTACAATGCAAACTAGAGAGAACACAGAAATACAGAGGGAAGGAAACATGTGGAGCTGCTCTCTCTCTCTCTCTCTCTCTCTCTCTCTCTCTCTCTCTCTCTCTCTCTCTCTCTCTCTCCCTCCCCCCCTCTCTCCCCCTGCGAGGCCTGGGTTCACATGCTGCTGTAGGAAAATAAAGAGGCCTGTGTGGATGCAGAGGGAGGAGGGAGAGAGAGGAGGAATCCATTTTGCAGGAGAGCATCCTTTGAAATGTGAAACGTGAGATTTTCCTACTCGACTGTCTTCAAACGGGGGGGGGGATGAGAGTTGGATGTAGGCGATGGATGGAAAGATGAATTCCCTCCCTGGTTTGGCAAAATCTGAATTGTTTTGTCGCCAATTAAGGAGACAGATTTAGAGGAGTGGAGTATAAGAATACCCACGATGCAACAGGACTTGTGTTGAACACAAAGAGGAATCCATTTTGCAGCCGAGCATCCCTGAAATGTGAAACTAGTTCGTCCAGTTTCTCGTGGAGAGGCCTGCAGGCAGCAGTGCAATGCATTCTGGTAGCTCCTCATCAACATACAGTAGTTCCCAACCTGAGGGTCGGGACCGCCACCAGGGGTCGCCACATCACAGAGCTTTCCCTCCGGACAGAGAACGCTTTAAAAAGTTCCTAAAAATATCAGAAAATATAAAATATTCACAGGAAATAATCACTTCCAGCCGGGACGCCCCCCGGTGGACACGTGCAGTATTACGTTGTGTAACCGAGAGAAACTGAATCAATATAAATAAAGTTGTTATTATTATTTAAAAAACAACACGGAACTCTTTTAAAATGTAAATGAATGAATGTGTCTGTTTTGGTTTTATTACAGTTTTATTTAGTTTTATATTTGAATGATTTAAACACAATAATTCATTTCCTGATAATTAAAGAAAGAATTAAAGAATAAATCAATATTTAGAGATTCCCTTTAATTAATTTGTTATTTTGTTTTGGGATTTTACAAACCTGTAAACTATTAGAGTTCAATGTTTGTAGAGATGAAATGGTCAGACGACTGAAACGTTTCCACGAGACAAACACAGACAGTTCAGATCATCTTCCTCCCTCCTCCCTCCTCCCTCCCCCGTCCCTCCTCCCTCCTCCCTCCCTCCTCCTCAGGGTGTTGGGGAGCTCACACACTGATAATGTGTTCAGGCTGTATGAACTGAGCTCTGACTGACTCAGCAGCGCCCCCAGTGGTGATGTTGAGGAACTGCAGGCGGTCAGAGGGTCACATTGTGTTACTGTATGAAGTCTCATAAAGGGACCGGATATTAGTTTATATACAGCTTTATATTGATCAGTATACACTGTATCTTTATTGATTATTGATCAGTATACACTGTATCTTTATGGATCATTGATCAGTATACACTGTATCTTTATAGATGATATTGATCAGTATACACTGTATCTTTATGGATGATATTGATCCTGTATTGACAGTCAGACTGTGGACATATGACGGCCTTTAGCTCGTGTTTCTAGAGTTACGTGTTGTTACGAACACGTTAGGAATTGTTAAAATGTGATATTTCTTAAAGGGAGTTTGGTGCAGGGAGCTTTTAGTTGGATTCAAACTGCTGATATGGATCATTGTTAACGTTTAGTCTCCACTACAGAAACACTAGCTAACTGCTGAAGGCTGATCAGGTTGATTGACACGTTTCCAACTAATGAAACTATAGAAGGAGAATCAGCTGCAGTATATGTGACACATTAGTACTCATACTACTACAAGTACTACTGTGTGTGTGTGTGTGTGTGTGTGTGAGCAGCTGTCAACGATACACACACACACACACACACACACACACACACACACACACACACACACACACACACACACAAGCAGCAGGATTGTGTCTCTGCTGACTCAGCGTGTTTCCCGCTCTCTGATTGGTCGGTTCCAGGGTCACAGTACACTTTGGGCCAAGAAGACTTTGCTCTCTTCTTCCTTCGCTGACCTGATTGGTTAATAAACAACTTCCTGTCAGCTGGTCTGTGGACTCTGTCAGGACCTCTTATGGGCGTCCAGCCTGCTGC